AGGGATGCGAGGTCAATGGGCTAACGACTACGGCATGCACGACTATGAGTACACCCCCCCCCTCTTCCAGCCCACCATTTCGTACGATCTGGATTCCACTCTCTTTCCAAGTGTAACCTATGTGGAACGCTGTCGGCCACGGCGCCCAACATCACCACTCCCCAACTGCTGTAACTCGCGCTTTGTGTGCTGCGGAGAAATGAGCGGGGAAACTGTATCTCTTGAAGTTAGAGGGAACGCCCCCGTTTCACCACCCTCCCAACCCACACATTCTCAATCCCAAGGTTTTTGTTGCCATGCGCTCTATGGTAGCATGAAACCTTTCAACGATTCGACAAGCAACACATACATTCAGTCTGATTTACGATCGTACATCGTACCATGTCGCTGCTGGTTGCATGGCGTCCAGACGGTGCTTTTGCATGCCAAATATAACAGGAGTTTCACGAAGCAGCAAGTGCAGCGGGTGCGCTAATCACGGCGTGTCATTATCTTAGCAGCAAAGCGCAGCGGGTACACCAACCACAGCTTTTCGTTGCGCTCTCGGCACAATGCTTGCATGAGCATGGTAGCTTGTTTAATCGAGTCACGCGCGCCACGTATTTGCCACGTATTTGTTCACCCCGACGCGACACAGGGGCAGCAGAAGGCATGAGCCAGAGCATCGACGAGGTGCTGCTGGGCACGCCTGCGCGAGGAACCGGCGGAGGCGATGAGGAAGGAGAAGGGGAGGGGGACAAATTTGTCCGTCAGTTGTTCGAGAGCCTGCTGCTGGGGACGAGGGCATCGAACGCCATTCCCGACGGAGAGGGCCAAGAGGTCAGTTTCCCGGGTTCAGTGTTTGCGGTGGTGGTATCGCTCGTTATTGTGATGGTTCGGGGGGTATGGTGTCATCGGTGTTGTTGCTAATTGTTGCTTCCTTGCTTGTGAAGAGTCATTCGCGCCAACTTTATTAACGGGGGCGAACGCACACGGGTACGCGACCGATGTTTGAATATGGATTGATTGCTCTGCGCCGAGGAGGGGGGTTGCTCTGGAAACCCGACCGAATGATCTCGACGAGATCGTCCCCAAACTAGCAAACCACCGTGTTACAGTCTAGCATTTATTTCGTACCTAAGAATATTCCCTCGAACTTCCCGCCTTTTTCAGGATTACGCGTACAACGCCACTTTCCCCGAGTTCAGGTCGAGGGCGGAGGGCTGCGGAAAGCAGGTGCTGGAGGTGATCCAGATCTTCCTCAACCACGTCAGTCAGGAGGGGGAGCTCGGCCTGCCGGAAGTCGGCGACGCGGCAGACCCCGAAGTTTTTCAGGTGTGACTATTCTACAATACGCGATTTGTGTTTTTTATCCTAGCTGCGGTTCTCGGCAGCCCCGGTCCTTTGTATTCGGCGTCGGATTATTTGTATTTATTCCCAACATCGCCGTCACAGTTGTCGGGAATTGGGGAGACTGGATGGCCGCATGTTTGGCAGCGCTCTGTTTAGGGTGTTGAAGGGGAGCGATACGCGACCACCTTTGTTTTGGGCTTCGTCCAAGGTGTGTTGTTGCGGGGGCAAGCATCGCCGGACAAGGCTCGAGCCACTTCTAGTGTAGCTGAACAATCTTGCGCGAATCCCCGCCACGATTTGACCAGTGACGAGATACATATATGTACCAGGGCGGCTATGTAACGCAGTCCCTGGGGGCATGGCTTCCGTGCCCTGCCCTTGACCGCTTCATCTGTCCAATGCATCCTTGCCTCACGTTTAGTCCTGTTGATATTTTCTCTTCCTTTACCCCAAACCCCCCGCACCTTCGGCACTAGGGCATCGCAGACGTTGTGGAAACCTTGCTGGAGGATGTGGACTCTTATCTCGACGAGGCCGCCGGAAAAGGCGCAAATCAGCAGGTACGTGCTCGATGGTTTCTACTACTGTTCTCTGTTTATTTTGCTGCTATCGTACCTCGACTTGGGACGAAGTCATCGCGTGTCTGCCTCTCGTTACGTAAGTAGACCGATGTCTTTTTGGTGGGGTTCCTTGTGTTTTTTTCTGGCATGCCTCCGGGTTCTGTTGAGCGTCCCCACGCGACACCCGAATGGCATGAAAATAGTGTACGTGAGTCGACTGCCACTCCGGTCGTTCTCGTCATATTAGTTCCCATCAAACCACGTACTGTACCTATAGTACACGAGAGCGTATCTCTTGCGCCATCAACCGCTTTCTCCTCGTCGCATTGCGCTTGTAGGTAGCCTACAACACACGTTGTTGGTTAATTGCTACCCCCCCCCCTTGGTGCCCCCCCCCCCGGTGTTTGCCATCGGGGTTGGGTTTTCGTCGCTTGGCAACGACGTTGTAAAACAAGCCCCCCCTCGGTGTTTGCCATCGGGATTGAGTTTTCGTCGCTTGGAAACGACGTTGTAAAACAAGCCCATTCACTTCGTGAACTCGGCAACCAGGTTACCGTTTTTTTTTTTACCTTTGGTTTTTTTTTGGCGGTAACCATAATGGTGGCCGGGTAGATCATGCGCGGGGTGGAAACCCTCACTCCGCGCAAGGGGGATGATCGCACCACGTTGTGTTAAAATGGTCAAGCACCCTCGAGGCAGTTACACAGTGCTTACAACTGTCTCAGGAAGTGAAGGCACCATTTATAAAGTACGTCATACGCAGCTGTCATATGTACTCAGAGGAAGTAAGCACAAGATG